TAATACCTAAAAAGCAACAATTAAACATCAAGAAGTTTATCAAACTTTTGTTTGTGGCATACAATGAAACCATCTGTCCCATTCCAGAACCTAGGATTTCATGCAGTTCAAAATTCCATGATTAAAACTTCCTCCTAAAAGAGTTCACATAATAACAAACCGACAACCATACTCATTATACAGAAGTGGAGTCTTGGTTTCAATAGCTCTGCAAATGCCAAAAAAATTAATTGCAAAATCTTAGGAATGTTTGATGACTGAAAACAAGTTTTATTGTTGTTGTATAATGATGTGTATTTTCCAGTAGGCAGTGGATCCACTACCTACTGGAAAATACATTTTGTAGTGTTTTCTAGTGTTTGGACACCATTTTGTAGAAATATCACTATACGTATTGGTCAGATACTTGCGTATGGTATTCACTCAGAATTTTCTGAATCAGTTGATTTGCCAAAGATGTTGGCCCAGTTGATCATCCAAAAGTGGCTGAATTGTTTATATTCCAAAGATTGATGTACCACTCGATCAACCAAAAGTTGTCGAAGCAGTTGATATATCGAAGATCGCCAGACCACTTATGTGATATGCCAAAGATTGCTGCAGCACTTTATCAGCCAAATGTTGCTCAACTATATGAGACTAGGTTTGTCACATATTCGGAGGTTAATGATGGCGAAAAGGGTAGAATATTGTTGAACAGTTTAAAGGTGGACATAATGTTGTCACTACAGATTGGGACGACTAATTATCAGGTCCAGCATCCTCCTCACCAGAAAGACACCATTCTTCCGATGGCACCAAAGAAATAATGTAGACCTTGCATAAGGTCATCTCTATGCTGCAGAGCAAAATAATTCAATTAAGAAGTTGGGTTTTTCGGAAGAGCGTGGAGAGTATGTTTTTGGCCAGAGTGATGTTTGCTATGAGAAAGTAATAACACCCCTGAAATTTGTAACGAAAATACCTACAAGGTTTCGGAAAAATCATTCATTGGCATCTTTCATCAAGATGGAATGTAAGAGGAGGGAAATTTCTATATGGTGCAATGTCATTTGACGGTATTTGGCATGAAATCAGTTGCATTGCTTCTGACAATCCAGGAAGTGCTAACCCGCAGATCTACATTGTGAGCTGGAACGACCATTTTTTTCATACTTAAGGTTCAGCAATACCTCATTGAGACATCGACACACTAGATCAGTGGCTGTATGAAGGGTGTGAGCAGTCTTACATCCTCAAATTGGACAGGCTTACAACATTTATTGACTACCCAATAAGAAACTCAGTCATTAGATGGGAAGCCTTCTGGTAATCCGAAAACTGTAACAGATGCAGAAGAAAGCCAGCTTAAGCATAACGATATTTCAAAAGAAACTTTTCTAAAAGGGGAAGTGGTTGCCAAGCCAAAGGAATCTGGAAATAATGGGGGCGAAGAGGAGGTAGTGACGTAGTGTGCAAAGAAAAGGAATTATGTAAGGAGTATATTATGAGATTTTTGCTCCAGTAATTCTTGTTAGTTTGTTGTGGTGTTTAAAGTCTATGTATCTTTCACTCGTTGCTCGCTAGCTTAGTTTGTTTGGGTTTCTTGTGAAGGACATTGTCATGACACCTGACAGTGTCATCTAAATAGTCTTTCAAATTTTGGTATTATGAAATTCTCAATGTATGTAAAAGGTCAATATTATACAGTATCTGTGTAGGTTTGCCTTCGATGGTTGCATGAACAAGGCGTATGTGTGGTAGTGAATAGCTTCAATGAAGAAAGGATGAAG